TAAGGAGGAAGTAGTCCTGGCAAGGCTACGCATTGGTCATAGTTTTTAACCCATCGTTTTCTTTTATCGGGTATTGACCCACCGATGTGTAGCCATTGTGACACTCAAGTCACAATAGCCCACATTTTACTGTCGTGCCGTCGTTACGACCGTGAGCGGCGGCATCATTTTAGACACATTTTATCTAAAAGTTTACCCCTGACGCTGGACAGTGTCATTGGTAATGGTGACACTGTCCGATTAGATTGTACTTTTAATTTTTTTCACATTATAGGTATTTTTAATTCTGTATAAATCTTTTATCGACATGTATTGGTTTTTACCCGCTGTATTTTACATTTTACTTTTATTTACTTTCATTGTTTTTACCGGTTGTTTGGCGCAGATAGCCTTGCTGCTTTGCGCCACAAAACACCAACCAACCAGTTGTTTGGCGCAGATAGCCTCGCTGCTTTGATCCATAAAGCACCAAACAACAACCTAAGTAGCCCAATAATTACCAGAAAGTTGGTGTTCTTCTTGTAGAAGCAAATCAAGATCCTCTATGTCGACTACAATTGAAAGTCTTTTAACGATAAAAACTCACGTGTATTAAAAACACATACTCACAAATAAACTAAGAATTTCACGTTTTTATTTCCATATGGAAACCTTAGTTCGTATATGCTATCGATAAACTTTACGTGAAGAAAACTTACTACATTTCATATATATTAGCCTCCCAGTGGCACAGCGGTATGTCTGCGGACCTACAACGCTAGAATCCGGGTTTCGATACCCGTGGTGGGCAGAGCACAGATAGCCCATTGTGTAGCTTTGTGCTTAATTAAGAAACAAAGAAAAACATTTATATTATTCCATTTGTTTTTATAGAATTCGGAAATATAAACTAATAGTAGCTAGAAAGTTAAAAAACGCAGGTCAATGAACATTTTATTTCATTCAAGCCGACAAATCAGGAATAGTTTCACTTTTGGCCCTGACACCCAACATCAAGGTTTTAGAAATTAGGACACAATGTGACCAGCTTCCCCTACTGGCCAAAAGATACCTAGCGCGTGTGAAGGTCTGCTGTTGTTTGAACAAGGAAGGTATTGTCTGTGGATGGCGAGTAAAGTAGTTATGACGTTCTGTCATGCAAGAAATTAATTAGATAATTAAAGGGGTTTGGAAAAAAGGACTTCACTTTATTAGTTAATTATTTGGCCTGGTATCGAGCTGCTGCTCCAAGAGATTTTTTTTTTCTTTTTTGACGACAGAAAAGAAACAATCTTTCTTGTACATCCTAACTGCTTTTCAGTGGCTGGTCACATAATCCATCGCAGAACTTGTAACTTCTTTTATGTTCGAAGGTTAAGTTACAAAGAAAACAGTTCGCATTTCAACGCAACGTTTTCAAACGTTAGAAATTCAACAAATACAATGATGTAATTTCCGGGCTTCATGGTCACGCGCTTTTTTTTTTCTTTCAAAAATCTAAGCACAATCTATTGTCAATGATCATAGTTTTTATCCGAAAAATCTCAACCGTTCATATGCTGTCAAACAGAATTATAGACTACAAAGAAAAAAATAACTCAAGGAAACAGAGTATCACCTGCGCATTGGATTTTAGCGTTCAATGTAATAAAACGGGAAACATCGAGCATCAAATAAATATTTGTTAATTAAACATAAAATTATAGTTAAATAAGGTATGCTGTCCGAGAAGTGAAAGAAAAATAAAGTATTGGACAAAAGTTAAAAAAGATAGAAAAAGGAATCAAAGTGAGAAATAGAGCGTAAATATGAACATGTGGCTTCTCACCAATTAATGCACGCGCTCGCTGTGTGGCCAATCATCTGGTTGGAGGAAAAAGTAGCCCAGAGATCTCGTTCAGCCGCTCTGAACAGTACAGACACAATAATAATATGTACACGAATTTTAACTGTAGAATGACATCTTGTTCCAAAAGTATGGTTTGAATACTCTGCTAAGATTAATCTCACCGTAATAAAAAATACAAAAGATATTTTACGCATTCCTGTATATATGATTTGTGCATTCGAAGCTTGCCAGTGCAGCTGTGTAAACAAAATTTTTCAAAATGTACATAGAAGTTGGACAGATATTAACTCTATATTATACTCATTATGAAAATACGGTGTGAAAATGTTTTATTGGAATATCTTACTTAAATAGATCTATATTGCACAAAAAAATATGTTTTTGTGAAATATACTTTGGTAATTTATACCAAAATAACATTATTAATTTGAGGAACCAACAGAAATAATTCCATGGTTTATTTAAACTGTTACCTGGAAGTAAGATCATTGAACTACAGAAATGAAGCATTTGTATGTGTATTAATAAAAAAATACAAATTTGTCACGATGTGCAATAGAAGAATAATATGGTAATTACAAAAATAGAGTTCTGTAAATAGTACGAAAAGTCAAGAAGCGATAACGATAAAAATATCGTTTATATGTTCGTAAGGATGTAGTTTGGTTGTTGCTAAGAGCAAAGCTACATAAAGCTTTGCCTGACACAGATATCGAAACCCGACTTGTAGCGTTGTAAGCCGATAGACTTACCTCTGAGTCACTGGGAGGCTAAGAATATGGGTGGGAACTAAAACTAAGCTACAAATGGTAATTGAAAGGATGTAACCAATGTATATTTTAGTTTTACTTAACAAAAGAGGTAAAGAAACATATATATATATATATACTACTTACAAACCTTTATATAGTTTTAAAATGAAAATACTTTGAACGATAATGTAAGAAGTTACATTAGTGGCAAGGTATATATCTAAAACTTGTTATTTGAAACCAGTTAATATTAATATGCTTTATAAGTCATTTTAACTATTAAATGAAGTGTAGCCAGCTTAACAGATCTAAATGACAAGTAGAATTACACAAACTGAACAATGATAAAAAATGTTAAACAAAATTTTACAGTTTTTTTATTAGAAAACAAATACAAAACCTAGCTACTAATGCATGTTTGTCAATTAAAAAACGATTTATTTATGTGTATAAGTAAAATTCTAAATAAGTTGCCACTCGAATGAAAGTATTTTGTGTTTTAAAGCTTGAAATGTCTGTGTTAAGTGTTATCTTGAATTCCGCCACATTTTATCAATGACAGAAGTTTGTTGATGCACAAAACTACGAAATCGTGCATATGCAAACGTAACTAAATTTGACGTGAAAAAATTGTACACTTGCTTCGTTTTGGCTTACGCCTGATATTGCCAGAAAAGATGCCGAAAACCACTGTATCATACGGAAGCATGACGTATTTTGGTTGCTAGGTGCTTTTCATTTGTTTTGAGATTAGAGTAATATGTTATGGCCTAAGTTTTTATCAGAGTTGCTTAATTTTTGTAATTGTAATGATTCTAGAAAAAAAGCGAAAGTTAGGCTCACCGACTTATCTACTGATATCTTTCTTATAATAGTAAAGCCAAACAAATTTAGAAAATGTTATGTTTTAATTACAAAACAGTACTTTTAATTATCTGCATAATACTTTTAGCAAGCTAACTTGGGTAGGAAACAACTGTACTAAACTTCAGTGTTCCCCTGTTGGAACATATCAATAACTTCGAACCTAATGATCGGATTAGCACAAAAATTTATATATATGATATTTGGATGAAAATACTACAAATATATGAAAATAAACGTAGTTGTTCAAAGGGAGCTATGAGCGGTAGGAAAAAGATTTAAACCCGTATAATGTTTTGTGTTTTGAATTTCGCGCAAAGCTACACGAGGGCCATCTGCGCTAGCCGTCCCTAATTTAGCAGTGTAAGACTAGAGGGAAGGCGGCTAGTCATCACAACCCACCGCCAATTCTTGGGCTACTCTTTTACCAACGAATAGTGGGATTGACCGTCACATTATAACGCCCCCACGGCTGAAAGGGCGAGCATGTTTGGTGTGACGGGGATTCGAACCCGCGACCTTCAGATTGCGAGTCGAGCGCCCTGGCCATGCTGAGCCCCGTATAGTATTTCTAGAAAGTATAGAATTTATTTGAGATGCATTTAGTCACATTCTAATTATTTTTCTTTACTTAAATAAACTTTGAAAATTAAACCACTCCTCTGGATTAACATAGAGAAAACCGGATTCGACTGAACTATAATTCACAGAAACATTCTGATTTAATAGAGTATTTGCTAAAACAGTATTATCTAAATTTGGATCCATCAAATGCATAAAACTGCATAAAGTTATAAAGTTTGAATCCCAAAAATGGTTTATGTTATTTTACAGTGTAAATAGTTGTCAAAATTTTACTTAATATATTTTTAGAATCTCAAAGTTATAGGCGAGAAAAACCGAGTAGTATAGTCTATAAGATATACTTTAAGTATAATTAGGATTCAAAGTAACTATCCAAATAGAATTAAGAAATGAAAGTACCTTCAAGTAACACGTGCCTTGAGCGACAGGTAGCATCTGGACAATAACAAAAGCCTGTTAAGAACAGCCAATAATAATGTAGCAGAGCGCACACCATATTACAATGGGAAAACCGGTTAGTTAAACTCCTCCCTTTCATGTTGTCACATACAAGTTATGTTTCACAAATAATAAGTAATAGATAGTGGAGATTATATATGTCTACACAGCTATTGAATATTTATAGAAAATGAGAAGAAAAACAAATAAGGACTAACACAATATTCATTGCTACAATATGTAGTAATTGCTGTCCAGTTTACAATATAACAGCGTGTACTTTTTTTAAAACAAAAACTTGAGTTTGAATACAAATAATAAACTTAGCACTTTCCGTTTTACAAAAACATGTAGGCCCGGCATGGCCAGGTGGTTAGGGCGCTCAACTCGCAATCTGGAGATCGCGGGTTCGAATCCCCGTCACACCGAACATGCTCGTCCTTTCAGCCGTGGGGGGCGTTATAATGTGACGGTCAATCCCACTATTCGTTGGTAAAAGAGTAGCCCAAGAGTTGGCGGTGGGTTGTGATGACTAGCTGCCTTCCCTCTAGTCTTACACTGCTATATTAGGGACGGCTAGCGCAGATAGCCCTCGTGTAGCTTTGCGCGAAATCCATAACAAACATAACAAACAAAAGATATTTTAATCGGAATAAATGCAGAATTAAGAGCCGTTGTTATAAAGTATGATCAGTCCTATTTGAATTTTCAAAGCAATTAAAGAAATAGTGTGGATTAAACTTATATTGTTGTTCGCAAGTAGCAAATTAGGTTTTTAAAAAACTTTTTGTTGTTGTTGCAAAGCAAAAACAACAAAATAGGCTGGCTATTTGTGCTCTGCTTACCGCGGGTATCGAAACCAGAACTTTAGTGTTATAAGCCCTAAGACATCTTTTGAGTCACCGGGAGGCCGCAAATTAAAAACGAGGAAAGGTATTTCACTATATTTTTGGAACCGTTAGGTATTGAGAATTTTAAATAATCCAAAGCCGCGTTAAATAATTTAACTTTTAATAGTTGAACTGTACAATGGATTTAGTGTTTAGAAATATGCTGATATTTTATTTAATTTACGCTATTTGCCAACAAGATTGATTCACACCGATTTTATTTTGACAAAATACGTTTTAATAACAGTCAAGCTCAACAGGGTCTTCTTTCTCCGCTGATTTTTCCAAGCCGGTTCCCTTGGCTGTGGTTTCGCTAGATAGTAGATAGGGACAGTGGGAATCTCGTTAATCCATTCATGCGCTTCACTAATTAGATGACAAGGCACTTGGCTACCTTACAGTATAATTTACAATGGCAACTATTACGATTAATTATTACAAACCAAGTTTCATAAACAGGAATTTCACTAACTTACAAATAGCCTAAAATCGTCTTCCTAGTTCGGAGTCTCCTTGATATTGAGTTAATTTGAAGTCGATGTACACGTAATTGGCGGGAAGCTATCTAGCTTTGTCAGGCACTGAATTGTTGGACCGTTGAAGTAAAATAATATTTTCATAAAACCACTAATATCCGATGAGAAATTAGTAATATTCTTGGAAAGATATTAACTTTTGATGAGAATTCACTGACGTTCGAAACTTATAACCGTTCCTGGTCAAATGTTGTATCTTTTCCAGTTGGTAAGGGTTAGCAAAATCACAGTTTATAGCTTGCATGGTTATAACAATTTCCTAGTAGACCTCGACACGTTTTACATGGTATCCTCGACCATGGTGGAGTCCTGCCTGCCAGGAGGCACAGAAGGCTCAAAAACGGGCCTGGGATACCTTCCGACGGTATCCCTCTCTTTCTAACTGCATTGTTTATCAGCAGGCTCGTGCCCATGCTCGGCAGGTTCGACGTCAAAGCCAAAAGGAGTCTTGGATTAAGTTCACTACTAACATCTCTTCTACCACCAGTTCCGAAACTGTATGAGACAAGATTCGGAAAGTCACTGGGAGGTATGCTTCCCATTTTCTTTCCATATTTCTTTCCAATGGCCAAGAAGCTGCTGATGTCCAGAGCATTGCTGATGCTCTCGGCCACAATTTATCTCGTGCTTCTAGCACTGCTGTTTCTTCCCCTGCCTTCTTGGCCATCAAGTCTCGGGCAGAGTGATCGCCTCTTTCCTTTCGGGCCGATCGTCTCCATGATTATAATCGCCCCTTTACAGTGGTGGAACTCAAACTTACTCTTCATCGGTCTGGTAGTACATTGGTCAGACCTAATAATGTTCATTATGAGATGCTCTCAACTGCCACTCTTGCTATTTTTCTGGTTATTTTTAACCAGATCTGGCAGGAGCATGTTTTTTCTGATACTTGGCACCAGGCTACTGTCTTCCCTTTCTCTAAACCTGGGAAGGATCCAAAGATTCCTTTTAATTATCATCCCATCGCTTTGACTAGTTGTCTTTGTAAGGTTTTAGAGAGGATGGTTAATGCTCGTCTTGTTTGGTTCCTCGAATTGATCGCGCTCCTCTTGTCTTGTTTGGTTCCTCGAATCGATCGTGCTCCTCTCGTCTTGTTTGGTTCCTCGAATGTAGGTTCTGTCGACAGCACTCCACCATGGATCATCTGATTTGTCTTGAAACATCGATCAGGGAAGCCTTGCTCAAGAGAGAACAGCTTGTTTCTGTGTTCTTTGATCTCGAGAAGGCTTATGACACTACGTGGAGGTATGGCACTTTGCAGGACCTCCACTCCTATATGTTGTGTGGCCATTTACCCATTTTTATTTAAAACTTTTTACTGAACAGGCGATTCCAAATCCGTGTGGGTTCCACTCTTTCCCGTTCCTTTCTATGGGAACTTGGAGTCTCCCAGGGCTGTGTCTTCAGTGACACACTTTTTAGTGTTAAAATTACTGCCATCACTTCAAATCTTCCTCCAACTGTTGCAAATGGGCTCTATGTTGATGTCAGTCATCGAACATGAGGTTCATTGAGCAGCAGCTTTAAACTGCCCTCAATCGGTTGTTGACTTGGACCACTGCAAACGGTTTTACATTTTCTCTTTTCAAATCCGTATGCATGAATTTTTGCCGCCAAAGGGGTCTCCACCCCGATCCCGAGCTCCATCTCGGTGATAGTTATTCATGTGGTCCCAGAGGCAAAGTTCTTGGGGTTTATCTTTTTACTGTAAGCTTAGCTTCATTCTACACATCAAGCAGCTATGTGTCAAGTGTGCAAGAGTTCTGAACATCCTCCATGTCCTCTCTTCCAGCTCTTGGGGAGTGGATTGATGTTGTATGCTCAGGATCTATCGTGCCCTGATTTGATCCAAACTGGACTATGGGTCTTTGGTCTATGGTTCTGCCAGGACCTCGGCCTTGAAGTTGCTGGATTCCACTCACCATCAGGGGTTTCGGCTCTACATAGGGCTTTCCACACTTCTCCAGTCCAGAGTCTTTACACTGAGGCCCATGAACCTCCTCTTCACCTCCGCCATTTGCAACTTTCTCTGCAATATGCTATCAAGCTTCAATCCTTGCCACAGCATCTCACTTGGGGTTGTCTTCCTTCATCAGTGGGCTCTTTCATCATAGACAGTCTTCTATTCCTACTTTTGGTCTTCTCATCCATGATGCCACCCAGTAGCACAGCAGTATGTCTGCTGACTTACAACGCTAGAAACCGGGTTTCGATACCCGTGGTGGGCAGAACACAGATAGTCCTTTGTGTAGCTTTGTGCTTAACTACAAAAAAACTCATCCAGGAGCAGCTAGCTGAACTTGATCTGTCATTACATGACATTGCTGTCCACAGTGATCATCCCATTCTGCCATGGCTTGTCACCATCCCCCACTGTAACCGCTCTCTAAGTCATCTGAGGAAGGCGGATACTCCCGATTGGAAGTACCACCTTCTCTTTGCTGAACATCTTTCGAGCCATTCTTCTCTTCCCATTTACACTAATGGTTCGAAATCGGATGACTCTGTAGGTTCTGCCATGGTTTGCTGTGGTTTTCTAACCATTCCTCTGTGTCCATTTGTACAGATGGTTCGAAATCAGATAACTGTATGGGATCTGCCATAGTCTGTTCTGGCTCGGTGGTTGCTCACGGAATCCTCTCTACAGCTTCTGTTTTCACTGTCGAGTTCTATGCCATTTCTTTTGCCCTGTATCACGTAGAAGCTGAGCAGTACACTGACTGTACTATTTACACCGACTCTATCAGCTCTCTACAGGCCCTTTATCTTCCATTTCTATTCAGTTTTTCTGGATACCTGGTCATATCGGTCTCGCGTGAACGAGCTCGCTGACACCACAGCTACATCTGTCTGCTCTGGTGCCATCACGGCCGTGCCTGTACCATACATGGACTACGGTCCTCTATTCAAGGCTTGGTTTCGCACCAGTTGGCAGTCGGCTTGGGGTGAACAACGTCATAACAAGCTTTTCCAGATTAAACCTACGTTTTCTCTTTAGCCGTCTTGTTTTCCGTATTGTAAGGAGGAAGTTGTTTTGGTCACAGTTTTTTAACTCATCGTTTTCTGTTATCTGGTTCGGATCCATCAATGTGTAGCTGTTGTGACACTCAAGTCACAATGGCCCATATTTTACTGTTGTTGCCTTTATGAGCATGAGCAGCGTAATAATTCATAACAGTGAATTGTAGTTTGCCATACTTTAGAGGTGATCTAGTTTTCATAGCCTTTGTGACACTCAAGTCACAATAGCCCACATTTTACTGTCGTGACGTCGTTACGACCGTGAGCGGCGGCGGCACCATTTTAGACGCGTGTTCTGTAAGGGTTTACCCCTGACGTTGGACAGTGTCATTGGCAATGGTGACACTGTCCAACTTGATTGTATTTTCAATTTTTTAAGAACAATTGGTCTTTTTAATTCTATAATTCTTTTATCTGTTATTGGGACATATTTTAGTTTTAACTCGCTTTATTTTTACATTTTACTACAATTTACTTTTTCTGTTTTTACCGGTGTTTGGCACAGATAGCCTAGTTTTTTTGCGCCATGAAACACCAACCAACCAACCTAGTTTTCATAACAGTGAATTGTAGTTTGCCATACTTTAGAGTTGACCTAGTTTTCATAACAGTGAATTGTAGTTTGCCATAACTTAGCGTTGACCTAATTTTTAGTATACTGCTTAGTAGTTTGTCATATTTAAGCTTTGCGCTTCCATGACAGCTAGACTCCAGAAGAATGCTATAAAAAAAAAAGATTTCCGCAAAAACAAAGTATATACAGATTTATAAAATCTGTTTTTTCAGCAAATCATGTCTGTTTTATTAGAAATGAACAGTTGCAAAAATAAAACTTTGCTTACCATCGTTTTGTCGAACGAATGCAGACATCATTTACGTTTGAGAAAAAATGTATATAATATTTAAAACAGTAAATAAAGGCATTTGAGATAATTTTATTTGTTAAAGTAAAACAAGCTTCTTGTTTTACATAGCCCCCCAGTGGCACAGTGGTATGTCTGCGTACTTACATCGCTAGAAACTGGGTTTCGATACCCGTGGTGGGCAGAGCACAGATAGCCCATTGTGTAGCTTTGCGCTTAGCTTCAAATAAACAAATCTTTCACATTTATCAACACGTGGCGTATTTGTACAATAGTACATGGAACGATAAGTCTGTCTCATTAATAAAAAAACCGCTGGCGTGACAAAAAGTAGTTGTTGAAGGGTATGTGCTAAAAATATTTTACATACTTGTTTTGGTCTCTACATCGATTCACCAAATGACTAAACATCACAGAAGAAAACGTGTTCCGGAGATTTAGTCGTCAACAGATGCCTCAAGTATTAAATTGATGCCAACAGTGATAGTGACTCATCGTCATGAGGTGCGATGACGGTTTCACTCACGTGTTTATTTCTCATTCTTCATCTAAACTTTATAAGGTTTTTAGTCATTTGGATATATCGAGGATACACATATAATAACCATGTCAGTAAACAGGTTGATCTACTTAATTTTGATTTTTATCTCCTTCATTGCTTTTCATTATGATTTTTCTTTTTGGTATACTTTTCATTAGTATAGCATTTTTTTTTAATTCAAAGTTAAGCCCTATTCTCACTATTCCTTACGTTAAGCGTACGTTACTTCTTACTGTAAAATATGAGAATTATTAACTTATACTTTTTTTGATATTGAATAGATTTAAGTTTTATTTTACGTATTCGTGAGTCTCCAAATGGCACAACGGCATTTCTTCGGACTTACAAGCTAGAAATCGGGTTTAGATACCCTTGGTGGGCAGAGCAGAGATAGCACATTGTGTAGTTTTGTGCTTAATTACAAACAAACAAAG